TCTAAATCCACCTAAATCCATTTATATCCATCTATATCTCTCTATATCTCTATATTTGTCTATATTTGTCTTTATCTTTCTATATCCGCCTATATCCGTCTATATCTGTCTAAATCGGTTTATATCTATATCTATCTATATCTATCTAAATCTATCTACATCTATCTAAATCTATATCTACCGCAAATGCCTGGGCTTTACCCCGAACCGCAACGACGACGGGCAACGCATCATCATCATCATCATCACCATCATCATCATCGACAACATCATTCCCAATTGAATATAAAGCTTGATAGGGGTGGGATTTTAAATATTCCCTAATACCTTTGTTGATCTTCCCAATTGAATGTAGAATTTAACGGGGGTGGGATTTTAATATTCCCTCATACCTTTGTTGGTCTTCCCGATTGAATGTAGAATTTAACGGGGGTGGGATTTTAATATTCCCTCATACCTTTGTTGATCTTCCCAATGGAATGTACAGTCTAACTCGGGTGGGATTTTAATACCCCCTAAAAATTGTGTTGATTTCCCTAATTGAATTTAAAGTTGCAACAGCGTTTGATTGGGAATGGGAACCCTCTACGCTGCAACGCTGGGGCAAAGCCGAGGCGTTGCGCGTATATCTATCTATATCTCTCGCTATAGTTTTTTTTTTCTATCTATATGTATCTATATCTATCTATCAATATCCGTCTATATCTATCTATATCTTTCTATATCTATCTATATCTATCTATACCTATCTATATCTAAATCTATCTATCTATATCTATCTATATCTATTTGTTGGACTGTTGGACGTTATATCTCCAAAAAAGTTGGGTGATGCGAACAAAAAATAGCTGATTCAGCTAGTTAGCAACCTCCAAAGGTCGATGCAGAAAGGCCTTTTCTATCCTATATATTGGTTATATCTCAGCACATGCAAAGCTGCATACAATCTATATATATATAGAGAGATATATATAATCCAATATTCTGTACTCATGATTACAAAGGCTTGTATCAAACTTGAATCATTTACTGTAGTTATCCCAGATGGTTGACCGGAATATCCTGGATTTGCTGAAGATTTTGGGGATCCTTCTTTTCCATGGCCTCAAGCAAGTCCTGGTTATTCCTAGCCATGATGGTGGACTATCATCATTGGTTCAGATGTTGGAATATGGGCTGCAATCATGCGTGTACAGTAATGGGAATACTTAAATTTCTGCATACAAAAAACTAAACTAGGTGTATGTTTCAGACATTTTTTATTTTTCTCCTGTTTTCAGCTCGTCTTATCCTTCCATTGCAGGGTCCAAGGTCCTAGGTCCTAGGTAGTCCTGCATAGCCGGCTTTCATCATCTTCGCACTCATTGCCAGGGGCCCAACTCTGAGACTGTGTTCTTGAGGTTGTCAATGTTTCAGCTTGAATTGTTTTGAAAAAGGACCGGATAACCCCACAAGTCAACTTCTTCCAATAATGAGCACTAAATGTTGTAGCGGGGACGCGGAAGGAAGGAAAGACAAAGGAGCTGGTGGAGGTTGTGGTGACAAAGTTGCATATGAAAGTTGGTGTGTGACAAAGAAAGATGATGTGTGTGTGTGTGACAAAGTTGTGTGTGAAAGATGGCGTGTGTGAAAGTGGTGTGTGTGTGTGTGAATGCGGCATCATTGCGTCATTGCGGGCTTTTCTTTTTGCGCCAGCGCTCCAATGTCATCTGCTTGGCTGGCCGCAAAGCACGTCACTCACAGCTGTGGTTACAAAAAACGAAACGTTCATTGCTGTAGTAAGATGTAAAATGCCACAAAACATGAAACAAGTCGAACGAAGAAAGTAGTTAAACATGCCAGAAAATCAAACATGCCGAAGCAGGCCGAAAGAATAAACGCGCCGGAACATAAAACATGGCGGAGACACAGGTACGCGTGATTTTCTGCTCCGGTCGCGTCTGCTTGGGCCAAAGCGACGAAAGCAGAATGCATGTTCTGATGACCGCGTCATTGATTGCGCTAAGCCACTGCTAATTCAACTTAACTATGCTAGAACACACTAATTTGTTGTACCTGTTGTACCGTGAAAGATGGTGTGTGAAAGATGGTGTGTGACAAAGTTGTGTGTGAAAGACAGTGTCTGACAATGATGGTGTGTGAAAGATGTATGTGACAAAGTTGTGGGTGACAAAGTTGGTACGTGACAAAGTTGTGTGTGAAAGATGGTGTGTGACAAAGTTGTGTGTGCAAGATGGTGTGTGACAAAGTTGTGGGTGACAAGTTGTGGGTGACAAGTTGGTACGTGACAAAGTTGTGTGTGAAAGATGATGTGTGACAAAGTTGTGGGTGAGAAAGTTGTGTGTGTGTGACAAAGTTGTGTGTGAAAGATCGTGTGAGACAAAGTTTTGTGTGAAAGATGGTGTGTGACCAAGTTGTGGGTGACAAGTTCTGTGTGAAAGATGGTGTGTGAGAAAGTTGTGTGTGAAAAATGGTGTGTGACAAAGTTGTGGGTGAAAGATGGTGTGTGACAAAGTTGTCTGTGAAAGATGGTGTGTGACAGATGGTGTGTGACAAAGTTCTGGGTGACAAGTTGTGTGTGAAAGATGGTGTGTGAGAAAGTTGTGCGTGAAAGATAGTGTGTGACAAGTTGTGGGTGAAAGATGGTGTGTGACAAAGTTGTTTCTGAAAGACAGCGTCTGACAAAGATGTGTGTGAAAGATGTATGTGAGACAAAGAGGCTGCGCCAGGTGACTCCTGCCACGCAGAACGCAAGTGGCAGTAACCAAGTCCCAATTCTGCCACGCAGAACGGCAGTAACCAAGTCCCAATTCTGCCACGCGAAACGAAGGTGGATGTGATTGCAAGTGCCACTCCTGCCACGCGAAACGAAGGTGGATGTCGCTAAGTGCCACGCCTGCCACGCAAAACCAAGGTGGATGCCGCCAAGCGCAACGCCTGCCACGTGAAACCAAGGTGGATGCCGCCAAGTGCCACGCCTGCCACGCAAAGTGCCGCACCGGCGACCAAAACGGGCCCAAGCGCGCCACCAGAGCCAGCCCAGTGCCATTAGGGAGGTTCATGTCGCCAAGTGCCAGGCCTGCCACGCCTGCCACGCAAAACGAAGGTGGATGTGACCAAGTGCCACTCTTGCCACGCGAAACGAAGGTGGATGTCGCTAAGTGCCACGCCTGCCACGCAAAACTAAGGTGGATGCCGCCAAGCGCCGCGCCTGCCACGTGAAACGAAGGTGGATGCCTCCAAGTGCCACGCCTGCCACGCAAAGTGCCGCGGCGTCACCGGCGACCAAAACGGGCCCAAGCGCGCCACCAGAGCCAGCCCAGTGCCATAAGTGCCAGTCTTGCCACGTGAAACGAAGGTGGATGTCGCCAAGTGCCCGCAAAGTGCAGCCGGCGACCAAAACGGGCCCAAGCACGCCACCAGAGCCAGCCCAGTGCCATAAGTGCCACGCCTGCCACGCAAAGTGGAGGTGGATGTCGCCAAGTGCCACGCTTGCCACGTGAAACGAAGGTGGATGTCGCCAAGTGCCACGCCTGCCACGCAAAGTGCCTCGGCGTCACCGGCGACCAAAACGGGCCCAAGCGCGCCACCAGAGCCAGCCCAGTGCCATAAGTGCCACGCCTGCCACGCGAAGTGGAGGTGGATGTCGCCAAGATGGTGTGTGAAGGATGGTGTGTGTAAAAGATGGTGTGGCGTGAGAAAGATTGTTGTTGACAAAGATGTGTGAAAGATGGTGTTTGAAAATGTTTGAAAGATGATGTGTGAAAGATGGTGTGTGAAAGATGGATGGTGGTTGACAAAGATGGTTGGCAAAGATGATGTGTGAAAGATGGTGTGTGTAAAAGATGGTGTGGGAAAGATGGTGTGTGAAGGATGGTGGTTGACAAAGATGTGTGTGAGAGATGGTGTGTGAGAGATGGTGTGTGTAAAAGATTGTGTGTGAAAGATGATGTGTGAAAGATGGTGTGTGTAAAAGATGGTGTGTGAAACATGGTGGTTGACAGAGATGTGTGTGAGAGATGGTGTGTGTGTGTGTGAAAGATGTTGTGTGCAAGATTGTTGTTGACAAAGATGTGTGTGAAAGATGGTGTGTGAAAGGTGGTGGTTGACAAGGATGGTTGGCAAAGATGATGTGTGAAAGATGGTATGGTTGGAAGGAGGCGGCGGCGGAGGCGGAGGAGGCCTGGGATAGAGAATCAAAAACAAGAACCCCACACAAAGTTGTAGGGAAATATTAAGCATGATCATCCGCCATGATCTTTATCATCAACATTATGTTGTTATTACCCTCCGGTAATTCAACACAGCCTATTTACTTCAAACAATGGTGTTTTCCCGCAGCTATGTGGGTATCCTCCCCGGGTATGCTTTTGACCTTGAATGGGTAGATCAGCATGTCTAATGTGGGTAAAACACTGTACCCCCCTGACTGGGAATGGTAAACATACCACCTTTAAAAATGGTGATGACTGGGGGATGGTTTATCATTGTTTTACCCACACTACTCACAGATATTTATTATTGACACGCCTATCCTTTCACAAATTGGAATCTGATTCTCCAACATCTTCAACGACTGAGAGGGAAACTATTGTTCACGGAGTAGTTTTGTCAGTTTGTTCGTGCGCCCAGTTACCTTTGTGCTTTGCAGCTTTCATGCTTTCATTCTCATGGAAAAATGAAGCTATGTTCAATCACTTTCAATCTTTCATTAAGGGAATATGTGATTATTACCTTCTGGTCATATATCATTATGGAACATCACATTTTTTATGGGCCATTGCCCATAGTTATGTTCAATCACCGGAAGGTAAGCACCATTGAATCTCATTCAAATCCCATAGAGTTGATGGTTAAATCCCATTAAAACATCCCATAGAGTTGATCGTTAAAAATCCCAAAACAAAATCCATAGTTGATGGTTAACAATCCCATTAAAAACTATCTGTGGTGGTTAAACATGTTAAAAATCCCATAAACAAGGTCATTGTTGCTGCCAGGCAGAGGTCGCGGTTTCTCGTCATCGGTCCTTTCCCTTTGGCGATGAGGTGAGGCTTTTAAACAACTTCGCAACCTGGAAATGGAGGTTTCCCAAGTCACGGGGGTACCCATAAATCATCCAAGTCATTAGACCATGACTTAGTATTGAAACCCATGGTTTTGGGTGTACCCCATTTGAGGAAACTGCCAAATGCGGGATTTCCAACGTTAAAAAACTTGCTCTTGGCTCTTCTTTGCCCTTTTTGCTGGGATAATATGGGGGATGAACAAACAGTTTGTTGGAAGCATTTCAGGAAGAATCACATTTTGTTTATGCATTTTTTCCAGCAATTTGGTAAACAAGCAGACATACTTCAGATGCCTTTTGAATAGTTATTTCAATTATATATATATATATTATATTTTTGAAATCCTGGAGGCCATGGACAAACTTTCAGAATCCTTTGCAGAAACTTGTCCAAAGAACCTTCTTAGACTGCAGAACCCCAACACCATATCCTACTATACCAGAAAATTGGTTTGTTAAACATGCTTGATGAGTTGATGCTTATATTATGGTTACTTCCCACATATTTTCCCCTCAAAAAAACAGCAATCTTGATGGGCCCAACCCCAGAGGGCCACGTGGGGATCGCTCTAGGAGGATGACGAGGAGATCGACGAGGGATTCTTGGCCGTATCGACCAGTTTCGACACGGCAAGGTTTTAGGAGATTGAACCAGCAACATCGGTGGGAATTGATGGGGATAATGAGGTTTCATGGGCCTGAGGGATTTTGTGGGATTTGATGGGCTTATACACCCTCTGGTAATTCAACATTGCTATGGAAAATGGCCCGCAAAAATAGATGATTTTCCGTTTGAACGTGATTTTACATAGCCAGAGCGTAATGGTAATTGAATGGGTTTTCGTGGGTTTTGTCATGTTAAAAAAACAAATACTGTAACCAATAAACCTGCTGAAGATGAGGTATGATGGTCCCTGTGTGGATGGTTTTAGGAATGTTGTAAGATTGGGGAGAACAGATTCAAAAATAATGGTGGTATGACCACCAAGAATGGATGATTGATAATTAACGGGCAATTGGAATGTAATGTGGTAAGCACCATGGCATAAACCACCCTCACTATTACCACAAATGTGTGGGAATGAAATCATCCACAACGGTAGGCTTGTGGAATTGGGAGTGCCACAGCCAAAGTATTATTATTGTTCTTCTTCTTTTGTTTCCATGATTAATTCTGTCATTTTGATTCATAACCGTAGTATGATGATATTATTGTTGCCGGGGAATTATTTGTGATTGAAGGCAAGCCCTTGCTTCCCAACCTTAAATACCACCAATAAAGGACCCGCAAATGAATGGACCCAACGCCAAACAAGGGTTTTGTTGGGGAATGTTCAGTATATCATTACAGTACAGATGAAACAAAAAACTGCTCTCATTGTGATAGGACATATTAATTATGGTGATGATGATAGTCATTGCCTGTTATCGCCAGGGAAGGGGCTGGGAAGGGCAAGATGAGCTATGCCAGCTATGCCAAGCCAAAAAAATGGCAGATCTTCTAAGGGGACATCCCTCCAAACGATTATATAATATATATATATAATCAAATCTTCAAGGAAGTCTGGTTGACGTTGTATTGTCCTTCAGGCCATAATGCCAATTTAGGTTCCTGAAATGGCCACTGACAGCACTTCGCTACTGGTTTCCCTATGTATGTTCCATTCGATTTCTGTTTTTTTTAGTGGCTTATTGCAGGTTATGCCAAACATATCCAAATATCATTTGTCACATATCCAAAATAGTGTTGTTTGTTCCCTCCATGGTTTTCCAACGATTTTTCCGATGTTGTTTCCAGTTTGTCATGATTATGCCAAGTGATTTCTGCAGTGATTCCATCCACGGACGACCGTAGCAAGCTCGGCGCCCGCAACCGAGGTGATGAAGACGTTGAGGAGGCGAGGCTGGCGAAAATTCGATGAGACTGGATGGGCTTGTAGAAAGGAATCACCACAGATTATGTATTTATATATGTATATAATTATATCGAAATATATGTTTGTTTGCATTCATCTTTATATATAATTATATATATAATAGTAATATACGTACGCATAAATATATATATATATTTACACTTTTATATACTATACACTGTAAAAGCATTTTGTATGCATCCTACATGCATATATACAGATGTAGACATAAATGATCATAAATGTAAGCATCTAATCATAAATGAATCTTGGATCATCCAGACAATTATGCTATGTTTCTGCAAGTTCTGCCTTAAACCAAGCTTGAGACGATTTCGCCATGGTCGGTTAAGATGGACTCTGTAAAGTGGATGGCCCAATAGTTTTTCCTCACATCTTTGTGTGGGGTTCTTGTTTTTAGTTGTCTACTCTGGCCGCGTCCGTCTCCCGTACTCCCATACTCCCGCGCAACTCTCTCACACACAACTCACACACATACAACTTACTCACACACAACTCATACACACACACACAAAACTTACTCACACACAACTGACTCGCACACAACTTACTCACAGACAACTTACTCACACGCAACTCATACACACACACACATACACACACACATACAACTTACTCATACACAATTCACACACACACACACAACTTACTCACACACACACACAAACCTTCACTTTGCGTGGCAGGCGTGGCACTTCTGGCACTGGGTTGGCTCTGGTGGCGTGCTTGGGTCCCGTGGTCGCCGCTGCTGTTTGCGTTGCAGGCGTGGCACTTGGTGACATCGACCTTCACTTTGCGTGGTAGGCGTGGCACTTGGCGACATCGACCTGCATTCTGCGTGGCAAGCGTGGCACTTATGGCACTGGGATGACTCTGGTGGCGCGCTTGGGTCCCGTGATCGCTGTGGCTGTTTGCGTGACAGGCGTGGCACTTGGTAACATCGACCTGCATTCTGCGTGGCAGGCGTGGCACTTATGGCACTGGGATGACTCTGGTGGCGCGCTTGGGTCCCGTGATCGCTGTGGCTGTTTGCGTGACAGGCGTGGCACTTGGTAACATCGACCTGCACTGGTGGCATGACTCTGGTGGCGCGCTTGGGTCCCGTGATCGCTGTGGCTGTTTGCGTGACAGGCGTGGCACTTGGTAACATCGACCTGCATTCTGCGTGGCAGGCGTGGCACTTATGGCACTGGGATGGCTCTGGTGGCGCGCTTGGGTCCCGTGATCGCTGTGGCTGTTTGCGTGACAGGCGTGGCACTTGGTGACATCGACCTTCATTCTGCGTGGCAAGCGTGGCACATGGCGACATCGACCTACATTCTGCGGGGCAGGCGTCACTTGGCGACATCAACGTGCATTCTGCGTGGCAAGCGTGTCACTTCGCGACATCGACGTGCATTCTGCGTGGCAGGCATGGCACCTACAAGGTGAGCCCCCTTCTTATAACTTGATTTAAATCATCGGTTAACATATGTTTTAGCAAAGGGTATCTCATGTTTTAAATTCCATAACTTACTTATTTTCAACTTATATCGGAGTTATTGATTTTTAAGGTAACTTGTATCTTTTAAGTTGAAAGATACTAAACAGATACAAAAAGTTAGCAAAGTTAACCTTTTATTTTTCGATTCTTGAAAGTTAGCTCGCGTTGTTTTTTTCCATGATGATTTATATATTGTTGCTGCTTTTGGCTAAGACGCATTGTTTTTGCGCAATTTTGGAGCCACCGCCTGTTTCTTTCGCTTTTTTGCCATGGCACGGAGGGTGCCGCCTCAAGCTTCTGCTGAGCAGTCTAGTGCCCAAATGCAAGCAAGAGTGGACCATTTTCTTTTTTGTATCTGATTCAAGATGTTTGGGAGGCACTTGGAAACTCTGAAAGACAGCTTCGTAAAGTGGAAAGCCTTGTTCTCCGTCATCCATCAGAACGTACGCCAGGGATGCCGAGCTGCGCCGCTTTTGTGGAACGGATATATGCATAAGTTTTTGTGGAAATGTCCAAACGCATTGATGATGAGTGGGTAAAAGATGCATTACCCTGTTTGCTGACGATTACCATGTCGGTGATGAATTTCGGTCACGCTATCAATTGCAGGGCCTTCTCAAAAAGTTTGGCATTCTTCTTGATGTTTTACAATCCATGCAGCTACAGGTGTCACTTGAGAAGTCCTTTGTGCTCATAGCAGTGGCAGGTACCAAGGCGAGGTATTTACTTCACCATATCATCAAACGCGACAGACATGGCATGTACAGCGACCCAGATCAGATGGAACAACCAGTCAGCTGCCAGTTATAGGCCCACCGCTGATTACCTGGGTGTTACCCTGAGCTATACACATCCAGAGCACCTCGCCTTCACACGCCGCGCACGCAGTGCAAATCTCACCCAACACCGGCTGAAGTGATGGTTGTGTAGCAAACATATTGCCAGACAGGCTAGAGTGCAGCTGTGGTATACCTGTGTTTTAGCTACTTTTCACTATGGCCTTGTTGCTGTCAATTTTACGCCCCCTATCATCACCAAGTACGTGACCATGGTTATGACAATGTTTCGACAGTTGATGACCACAGTTTTCGAACCAGACGCGCCCACCAGCAGGTTCTTGACCAATACCAACTGATGCATCCGATCCAACTGCTCTTGCGCCATGTCCAGCAGACACCACCGGTCAGAGGCTTATCACTCTTCCCTCTGACGATACTGTACATAGCCTAGATTTGGAGCTGCTTAGACCAACACGTCCGGCTCATTCACATTGCGATGGCCTATCAGGTGACAGTGCTGCGAGACGAACGGCAGAGCTCTAAGGTTCCATACATGCTTTGGTGCCAAGTTTAGTTTATAAGTGGGTTATAACCTAGGGTTATATCCCAGTTACTAAGTCATAACTTCTTAGCTAACTTTTTGTAACTTTTTTTTTGCTATAAAAAAAGTGTCTTTAAAAGTGATCAAATTTTGATCTTTTTGATGATTTTGAGTGTTTGCTGTTTGAAGCGTTTTCAACTGCTCAAAAAAATGCCAAATGGAGCGGTTTTCAAACCTCTAAAAACTAGTTTTGTTGGAACAGCCGTTTTCAGCATGTCAAACACTATAATTAATCACGTGTTAAAACCCAAACTGTGAATGAAGATGTGTTCATGTCCACTAGAGAGGATGTATTGCTTGAAGAAGTGTCCAGGTGTTCACTTTACCTTGGCTAAATGCTGCAGAGTCCCTTTGACAAAACTCAATTTTTGCAGGATATCCTAGATGTCTTCAACGTAATTACAATATACATCAACATACCCATACCTGCCAACAAATGCATGCAGTATTCAAAACAGAAATGCAGCATACCCTTCTTCATAAGTGCAATCTTCCTTTGGAGCAACGCAGTGTGTTTTTGCAGAACAATATCCCTATGAAATATCAAATGTTCCTTTAAAAGATACACCATGCCCTTTGGAGGAGTACAGTGTGCATTTAACAAAATTTCCTTTGAAAGGGGTCCTCAAGGTGAAAGGGGTCCTGGCCTAGAAGCCTCCAAGATTAATTTCGACCGAGTTTTTGCCTTTGTATGAAAAACTCGGTCGAAATTAATCTTGGGGGCTTCGCGCGCATAAGGAACATTCTTGGCCAGGACCTCTTTCACCTTGGGGGCCCGTTTCAAAGGAAATCTTGTTATTTCCACATGTCTAACCTTCCTTTCAAAGGAGCAGTATCCCTTTTAGAAAAGCCAATATTGCTGCACAATATGCTGTATTTTTGACATAGAGCATCCCTTTCAAAAGTGCAATATGTTTTGAAATGTGAGATTTTTTCAGAATGTTTTTTCGCTCCTTACAACAGAGCATTGTCCTTTATGGCAACACAATCTTCCTTTGAAAAAGCAGCATTCGTGGAAACCTGGATTGCTGTTCATTGATATATGTATCTAATCTACTCTAATCTAATCCAATTCAATCCAATCCAATCCAGAGATATCTCATCTATATAATCCAATCCAATCCAATCAAACCCAAACAAATCCAATCATATCCAATCCAATCCAATCTATCTAATCTAGCCAAATCAAATCTAATCCAATCCAATCCTATCCAATTCAATCCAATCCAATCAAATCCAATCTATCTAATCTAATCCAATCTAATCCAATCCAAGCCAATCCAATCCAATCTAATCTAATGTAATCTAATCTAATCTAATTCCAATCCAACCCAATCCAATCTAACCTAATCTAATCTAATTTTAATCCAATCCAATCCAGTCCAATCCAACCCAACCCATCCCAATCCATTCCAATCCAATCCAATCTATCTAATCTAATCTAATCTAATTCCAATCCAACCCAATCCAATCCAATCTAACCTACTCTAATCTAACCTTATCTAATGTAATTTCAATCCAATCCAATCCAACCCAATCTAATCTAATCTAATCTAATTCCAATCCAATCCAATCTTATTGAAGTGCTGTAAAGGCCTCTGTGGTATATGGGTGGGATATATTGAGATATACTAGGGGAAACTGGGGTTTACTTGGGGATACTACGGTATACCATGGTATACTGACCGTATACCATGGTATACTGACCGTATACCATGGTATACTGACCGTATACCATGGTATACTGACCGTATACCATGGTATACTGACCGTATACCATGGTATACTGGTGGTATACTGGTGGTATACTGGTGGTATACTGGTGGTATACTGGTGGTATACTGGTGGTATACTGGTACACTCCCTAATCCAATCCAATCCAATCTAATCTAATCTAATCTGATCCAATCCAATCCAATCCAATCCAATCCAATCCAATCCATCCAATCCAATCAAATCCAATCCAATCCAATCCAATAATCTAAACTAATCTAAGCTAATCTAATCCAATCTAATCTAATCTAATTCCAATCCAATCCAATCCAGTCCAATCCAGTCTAATTCCAATCCAACAAAACCAAATCCAATCCAATCTAAC